CTATTGATGCTAAGTCACAGAACAACGAAATGTGACTTGGCTATAGTATATAAACTATTATGTTGTTCATGCCACACCGAAAAAGTAATCTTTCTCGAGGCATACTCACGTCATTGACTAAGCGATTCTTGCAAAGTTGCATATCGAAGTACTATCACTTAGAACAGATCTTAGGCTCTCAAACTACAGGTCTTTTTTATTTGAAATGACTCACGAGAACATGCAAACACGACATTCTCAGTAAGTGGTTTCAAAAAAGAGATGCCTAACCTTATTCTCAGACATGTTTCATCTTGTTTGGAACAGATTCTGAATACATGAAGGGGCAACATGATTTGCACTCATCCACATATGATTATTAATAACTGAATAACCACTAAGTGCTGATTGATGTTATATTCTGCTAATTTTCTTGCTGATAATTGAAGTCTATTATACACGGCCCGAACAGTTCAGCAGTAAAGTCTCAGACTTTTGGGCTGAATGAAGCGGCATGGTAACACAATAGTTGCTGCTACCAGCAATTTCACAGGCAGAGACTAACGTACTCACTTATAACAAAAGTATAGTGACCTAAAAATATTTCTTCCAGTTCTCTAAGATTTATATTACCAGGTGAATAGACTATCTAAGCTGAACAATGCAAAAGTTCTGAAACTGCTTCAGAACATTAAGGCGTGGTCGCAGTAGAACCAGTTGATTGATAATAACTTGTCACGAGGATATCGATAAATTAACTATAATATTCTAATTATAGTATGAACTAGGAATTCCAGGACTAACGCAATTGAACTAAGAAGACACAGGCACAAACGAATGTATTGTATTTAGAATTCGAAATCAAGTATTCAACCAGTACCAAGGTATCATTGGTTCATTCAAACACCACATCCGCCACAGCTTAAATTGGAGTCTAGGTGTTTATAATCAATCGTACGTCTTCTTCTCAAATTCATCCTGAGTCTGTCTGACATTGTATTGGATAAGGATTCTGTATTATCTAGAATATGCTCATTAGCATTAGAATTAACAATCGAAATTGGAACCGACTCACCTGGTTCCTGAAATTGTATTTGATCAACATGTCGACTGTGTGTACTTAAGTCATCGATGTCTAGAATTCGCACCATCGATCTTCCGACATTCTTCAGAACAATACCCATAGATGGTCGAAGATTATTTCCCTAATAGTATGTAACTTCTGCAGACTCTAAACATCTCATATTCGACCGAAGAATTCTTCCTTTCAATAGCTTCGCTGGAGTCTCCTTCGTCACCGAATGTTTGGCATTTCTATATTGCAATAGAAAGGTATCTACTCCCCTCTCCAGCTCATTAAATGTTGAGGGGGCTATAGAATCAATAGCAGTCTTTAATGTCCTAACAAAATTCTCTGCCTGACCATTAGAACACGGATGTCTGGGAGCAGTAAATAGATGTTTGCACCCTATACCGTTCAACCAGGTAGTGACTGCATCTGCAGCAAAATGTGAGCCATTATCAGTCACCAACACCAAGGGAACACCTTCTCGACTAAACACCTTTCTTAATGCTTGTATTGTGAAATCAGAATTCGGTGAAATTGTGAAAAAAACTTCAGGCCACTTTGAAAAAGAATCAATGACTACTAGTGCGTAGTATTTACCAAGAAATGGTCCACAATAATCAGCATGAATCCTCTGCCAGGCCTCAGACGATACTGGCCATGGCACCCACTTCGAAGGATGGTTTTTCAACTGATGACATTTCTCACAACTGTTTCCCGTACGACATATATCTGCATTTATCTCTGGCCACCAGCATGTGAGCCTTGCCAAGGACTTCATTTTCTCAACACCTAAATGACCACTATGAAGATCTTCAAGAACAGATTTACGCAATGAAGGAGGAATGACAACACGATCGTTTAAACACAGAATACCATCAGGAGTAGTAGATAACTCATCCCGCTTTGAAAAATAGATAGGAAATCTCCGTTTCAAATTAGCATTCCAACCTTTCCTTATAGCACTGAGTATACATCCAAAATATCTACGAGTTTCTCTAATGAGATCTGAACGTCTCACTGGTAAAGGTTGCACTAACAAACAATGCGAAGTATTAATAGGTTTATCTTGTAATGACTGTCGAGAAATGTAATCAACATGTTGAATCTGTTTGGCACTTCTGTGCTGAACCGTATAGTCATATGCACTCAAAGCAATACTCCATCGCTGAACCATAGCTGCTGAGGAACGTGCTAAGGATTTTCCGGGATGATAAATAAACTTTAAAGCTTCATGATCAGTAACAATAGTGAATTTCTTTCCGAATAAATATTTATGAAGTCTTTTAACAGCCCAAAACACAGCTAATGCTTCTCGCTGAGTCTGTGAATAACCTTGTTCAGTAACAGTAAGTTTGCGTGAAACACAAATAACTGGTCTACCTTCCTGTTCCAAAACTGCACCAATTCCCACAGGTGATGCATCAGTAATAAGCACAGAATGTACATTAGGGGAGTACGTTCGAAGAACAGCATCACTTTGAAGAAACTTCAGCAGACTTCGTAAGCATGACTCTTGTTCCTCACTCCATTTGAATGAATTGGATGTTAAAATATTAAATAAACAATTTGCACGACAAGAAAAATTAGGAATAAAACGGGAATAGTATTGAAGAGCACCCACTAGTGAACGTAATTCTGTAAGATTTTTCGGAGACGGTGCATTAGTCAGTGGAGCTAGTCGTTTCATATCTGGTCTAAAACCGTTACCATCAACTAGGTATCCAAGGCATTCAAAACTAGATACACAAAATGAACACTTATTTGGATTCACTGTTATATTCTTCTCAATTAAACGTCGCAATAAAGCAATAAGTCTCTGGTCATGAACCACCTTATTAGAGCCATGAACAATGAGATCATCTTGATAAACTTCAACACCTTCAAGATCACTAACTACTGTATTCATAACTTCTTGAAATATGGCTGGAGAACAACTTAGACCAAATGGAAGGAAATTGTATTTGAACAGACCAAAAGGAGTGTTAATTGTCGTCAAAATAGATGAAGATTCATCTAAAGGAATTTGAAGATAAGCATCTTTTAGGTCAACTTTCGAGAACACTTTAGAACCATGAAGTCGATTTAGAATATCTTCAGCTTCTACCGTCGTGCACGTTTGCTTCAACAAACGGGAGTTCAGAGTTAATCTATAGTCACCGCAAATTCTAGGGGTTTTGCCGTCCGACTTCAGTGGCGTAACGATAGGAGTACCCCATGCTGAAGACTGGATTGGTTCAATTATGCCTTTCACACACAAATCGTTTAATGTCTTATGTACTGCTTCTCGAAGACCATAAGGAATTATTCGTCTTTTAAGAAAGACGGGATCACCCTGTACTTGAAGTTTTATAGGCTTAATTTTCATACCTCCACTGCCTTTAGCACACATAGCTATCAAATCTTTAAGTAAAGTATCAGAATTTTCTTTAGAAACTAAGAAGGACAACTCCACCTTAAGCCTTTTCAAATTCTTTAAACCCAATATTGACAGTCCTGTTTCGCTAACTAAAAATTCACAAGGTATGTATGAAGAATTATCATCTCTGATTAGCAATTCACAACATCCTCGTATGGGCAGTCTGTGTCCAGTAATCCCCAGTATTGATACTTCAGTGGGTCGTACAACAACGTTAGGATCTAAAGCTTTCAAGTTCTGGAATGAAATAATGGACTCTATACTGCCTGTGTCCAGAATAAAGTCATGAAATGAAACAAGCGATGTATATAATCGCTTCTGAATATGAGCATTACCTTTCGAAATAGTGGACAAAGACAGATGATCACTAGAAACATCCGAATTATTGAAATTTAAATTACAAGATTTAGTACAGCTTGAAGCAAAATGGACAGTAGCTTTGCATACTGACTGAATGTGTCCTACCTTACCACATTTAAAACATTTAGCATTACGAAATACACATGAATTGCGAGCATGAAACTTTCCGCATGATAAACATTTACCAAACTTGATCTCACCTTTGTGATTTGCTTTGTAATTCCTCGTTGAAACACCTTTCATATTTACCCGAGAATAGGAATCACTGTTAAATGAACGCAAGTTTGATTGACCCTGAGATTGTAGTTCATCACGACGACTAAGCAAAGTATTAGAAATATTCATCGACTGGATATCAAGTTCATTGACTGCTTCGTAGTTAATACATGCAGTTCTAGCATCTTGAAAGGAACAGTTTGGCATTCTTAACAGCTCTCTTTCCAAACTTGGTATGTTAATTCCTGAAATTACTCGATCTCTCAGTTGCACATGAAGTTGATCACCGAAATTACACTTGGCAGCTTGTTTCTGTAATTCAAGGGTGAATTCCCGAACCTTTTGGTCATTTTGACGAACCATCTTATGAAACTTCGCCCTTTCACGGCATTCAAAACTGGTGCATTTTACATGACTTAACAATAGCTCTTTAAGAGTTGCATAAGGCAGTGAGATAGGTTTTTCTGGATATGCCAAAGTTTTTAATAAGCTGTACACTTCTCTCCCAATGAATGTCAGAAAATGTGCCACAATTTTCTCACCTTTAACATCTTTCTTGGTCATGCTTCAAATTTCGAACCTTTCCAAATAATCCTCAATAGCTTCAGGAGTTAAATGAATATCCAACTTTTCCATTGCAGGTTCCATCGCGACGCCAATATAATATTCTAATTATAGTATGAACTAGGAATTCCAGGACTAACGCAATTGAACTAAGAAGACACAGGCACAAACGAATGTATTGTATTTAGAATTCGAAATCAAGTATTCAACCAGTACCAAGGTATCATTGGTTCATTCAAACACCACATTAACAAACATCTGAAAATCTACAGAAAATACAAGCAGTGAGCTCAAAGAAATTAATACGTTTATACAAGCTTTCGACAAAGATATTGATAATTGGAATAGAAGGTATGGCTTTTACTTAACATTTATTAACCATTTTCGGTTTTAGCTATGTGTTACCGCTTTGTGTTGTTGATCGTGCTTTACCTGCATACATTATTATGCACTAAGAGTGCTTCGGAACTATGGATGCGTTTTCGTCAAAATCCAAATTCTGTTCAGCCAATTGACTTCAAGTCTTCTGACAAGCTTTTCAGTTGGACAGACAATAAGAATACTTTCAAAAAATACAATAGAGGTTTTCCTAGAGGTATCTGGGGAACAGCTGCTTTCCCTGATATTTACAGAGGATCGTCTGACAATGACACAGGTGTAACTCATGTACTTTTGTTGATGATTATTTTTACATAACATTTTCGTGTCCACATATTCGATTACGTGATCACATCAGAAAAAAGTTAGGTTATCTTCATCTGCTCACCAGCCATTTTATATGGAAGATGTTTTGCTTGGTTTTCTAAACTGAAGAAAACAAAAGATTTTACTTCGCCGCGACTATTAAAACGAATTTGTTTTAACATATTTAAATATATTTATACAACGATCCGTCCTAATAGAGGCCATAACTGATGATTAGAGCTCCCAGACATAGAAAGTTCATCTACATTAACATACAAATTTAAAGTATCAAAATTAAAAGTACACAACCAAAGTTCAACATATCTTAGCAGATTGGTTTTCAATCCGAAATGGTAGTAAAATCCACTGCTGATGAACTTTGGTTGGACACTTGTACATGTCCTCAAGACACTTCTGATGCTCCTTGGTAAGTCTGGAACCAGGTCTCGGAAATTATTCAGAATTCAATCAGCATCACTGATGCTGAGAAACCTTTCTATAATTAATTTCATCAATACATTGTTGATCTGCTCTTTACGATTTACGGACTTTTGAGAGCATAAATTAACGTCATTACATCCTATAAGAAGTATATTAACGTATTCACTTCATATACATACCATTATCATCTAGAAGCCTTTGATTGCTGTAGCTAGTGGATGGTGTAACAGTTGAAGGATTCTCATTACAATTACTTTCTCTCTCGACTGCTATCAATTAAACATACACCACTGTTAAAGTAAGTTACCTTTGATTGTGCTTTCATTAGCAAACTGATTAAACGAAAGCAAGTTAAGTTTTTTCATGAAAGCTGTTCGTATTTTATTCCACCGTCTGTTATAAGTCGATGTATGCAGCCAAGGACGCTTGTCAAGTTAATAGTGGCCCTACGTCTACAAGCTCTCTCAGTGACTTTAATTGAACTCATTGTATTGGGCTAACAAGGTAGTTAGTTATAATGAACATGAAAAACAGAGAGCACGTCACTCACATGAATCACGTTAGTTATTTGTGATAACTACCAAGCATGTCGAAACACTTTAGCTAAACAAAAAACGAAGTCAGTATATATGCGTCTCAGTGAAATCCCTGTGTCCGTATTTTGTTACTTGTGTTTCTGACAATAGTTTTTTTTTATGAAGCGGTGCGTTATTTTGTTGACGTTTATGTAAACATAAGGACGGGATGCGGCACATTCAAATACCTTACTTTGCGTATAATTGTCGACAAATATCCCCCAAATACATGACGTAAGGTGGAAAAATCGACATTTCCCCTAAATAACCGACGTGAAGGCGAAAAAGTTACATTTTTCCCTTTATTTACGCTTTCAAATCCTTTATTTCCCCCTTTTTGCCTTTATTTTCTCTTCATTGGTTGCTTGGGATATTAGCAAAATCTAATATGTATTAGTCTTTATATATATAATTTTGGGTAGTCACAAATGATCTTTATAAAAATTCATCGATAAAGCACAGTACAAATGCTATCTGTAGTAATAAAAGGTTTTTACAAACTCTTTAGTTACAAATTAGGAAATTAGGTGATTTACTGGTTTTTAAAACAACATCTGTCTGTGGGGTATTGAGTCATATGCTTTTCTGACGTAGTGTTCAGATTTGAATTTGTATTGCCACAAATGAATTTTCATGTGCAACGTCAGCAGTAATACTGATGAGATGACTGGAATAATTTCATCATTAATCTTTGTAGAGCTGCATGGAATGTCCGTTGTTCTTAATTTTTCTTTGAGACTTAAAAGTAAGAATTAAATATATTTTTCACTGGCCTTGATAACAAAATTACTGATCGGTGGTAATTGTAAAATCTGAGACTTTTATGCATATTCAAGATTATTCTAGCACAAGCAAACAGATAAAACCACCGCATTTCTTTGTTTAACACCAGAAACAGTTGGAAACTAGGTAGGCGTTTGTGCGTTTTACATTTCAGAGATTTCGATTTTCCATTCGCTTAACCAGTCTTGGCAGAACAAGTCAAAAACCCACGAAATCACTTCACTACACAAAAGACTACCGAAAATTATTTTGTCTGGGGAAATACCTATTGAAAGGGGTGGCACAAGAAAAATGCTGTGAAATTCTTCCATGTTTAAAAATCAGAGAAACACAATTCCGAGAAGTGGTCTCTTTTTAGTAACTTTTTCACCAAGTTGTACGACATTATGTACATATTAATATGATATATAAGTATTTATTCCATGAGGACATATGGACAATGGATTAGCAATATAATGTAATTCAGAGATTATAGTAACAAATTATGTTGTGTAAATAATAACAAGAGAAGATTGTCTGTGTGCAGATCAAAAGTCATGCAAGACTAATACGTTAACAAAGGATTATAATGTGAATGGAATAAGATACTTCAACTGTTTTCGTTACAATAATTAAAAGTAATAGATGGCTTAGGTACAAATCACTGATATCAGAAACAATTATGAACAAAATTGCCGCGATTTTTAAAATAATTAAATAGAAAGGAATATTTTTAAGTACGAAATAAAACAACAATATCAATAATAGTAAAATTTAAGCATATGGTAAAGATCAAGATAAGACGTACTTCATAGTATATACAATCCTGACTTGATTGCACTAATGACAAGGGCTTCTTGTAACCTAAAGAGACGGATACGAGAAAATCTGGGCATATTTAGACAACCTATCTAAAGAAACTCATAATCAGCCTGTGAGTCAGTGGAATGACTAAAGTGAACTAAGTATTCAATAGTGGAATTCCTAATCACTTTCCTCTTACCATTATAGAACCAAACAAGGATATATACTTGTGTCCGAGTTGAAAATAAGAGCTAACTACGACCTGTTTATTTGATCTACAAGTGCACGTAAACTAGTAGGTGCACAGAGGAATATTGCCCTCTTGAATATAGAAAAATATTTCTACAAGTGAACGGCAGTCGTAGCTTTGCTGCGTAGAATATTTCTTTTATAATCCGCTGTTAACTTAGTAATATATGAACGCACACAATGTTTTACCACTATTATTCACATTTCTTAATAAAGTGTTACAATCTTTCTATTATATCATCGTGTTTATTAAGTTTTCATATGTCCCCTGCAATAAATGTCAAAAGTTTACGCGCATATACATAGTCATACAGCTTGGTAAAAACAATTATAAAAGAGAGATCCCTCTTCTGAGCTTCACGCTTTATTAATTGTCTACTGAATAAATTGCATCCCTAAAGCTATGCAGTAGCAAAAACCAAAGTTGTTCATACTGTGGTGTGTGCTGCTTATATTGACATAAGTAGTAGATGATGTTAGTCGTGAACAGATGGTCTGGCAGCAGATAAACAAGAGGATTGAACAGTAAAGAATGGAAACAGAATGCAATTTGTATCAAAATGCAAAAACAATGAAGTCTGAGTCATCATGGGACAATTGATGGACATTTTGCAAAATTAAGCATTTACTTTATGATTGTTAGATTTTATTAACAAGTCCTGCAATTTTGTGTTATATACATTCCATTGCCCCCACTGGTGTTCTTGTTCACTACAATACCACTAGTAAACTTAGGTTTGAGAAAAAATTAAAATAAGACAAGATGAAATCACGAATTTTGTTATCGGTTTAGCTACTAGTTCAGATGATTTTGAAAATACTAAAATTTAAGTGAGTGACACCTTATGCATTAATGTACATGTTTTGAAAGGAAACGTGAAATTGACAATTGTATATTTTTAAAACTGAAGAATATAACTGTAAAGATTTCATTGCCTACTTAATATGCCTGCTGATGGTGTAGTTTAGAAAGAATAAAACGATTTAGCTTAGAAATTTCAACATGGAAAATGTATTTATCCCGGTTGAAATCGTTCTCATTATTACAGACATGAGGTTATTAAAATTCTGTCTGTTAATTCTTTATCATGTCTGGTTCCGTTGTTAAAGTGTTCTATTTTTTAACAAATCTGATACTCATAATCTGTTATTTTAGATACTGTTAACTGAAGAAAAAAAGTACAGAGCCACTCTATCCATAAGTCAAGTATTGCTATTATTTATTAGGTAGTAGGAGAAATAAACAACCACATGTGTTTTAAAGTCAAGACTTGATATTTCAATGAATATAATACCTAAGGGTAAAGGTGTAGTCGTAAACCAGACTATTGTATTTTGAATAGTTGGGATCATAAGTCAATTGAAGTTAGACCATCATAGAAAATCTAGAAGAACTGGATGGCCGTTTTGTCCTCAGCAGTGGGAATCCATGACCCCACCCTGCGGGATTCGAACCGAGAGCCTTTGGTCTCACACGCTAGCGCTTTACCACTAGACCATTGACTTGGCTGGCATCCAACGGTGTTAATGTCTAACTTCAACTAATCCATGAAATTGAGCGACACATCCACCATCGTCATCAGTGCGTTATTATCTCACAACAGACTCGGTTGAACTCCATTGATCACTGTTTCTCACTAGAACTCCAGGATATACACCTTGAAGGTAGTCACTGGTGAGCATATGTTGATCAGTATCAGAAATGGTTTTGTGGAGACCATAGTAATTTTAATAGTTGTCTACTTATTTCATTGATTAATATACTGACTAAAGTGGAATTTATACATACATTGAACGTCAGTTTAAAGTGAATAGACGACAAGACATTTTATTTAACTATAAGACTAATATTTCAACTATTTCATTGTGATAGTTAACTAACTTTTGCAACAACAACTTATCGTATTCCACTCTTTATTGTCTAGTCACGCAAATCCAAATCAATCAAATGCATTGTAATGCCTGATACGGATTCAAATCCATATATGTAATGAAGAAATAAAATGAAAATATTTTGGTCAAAGCGGAAAATCAAACATGAGAAGAGTAGTCTTGAAGAAGGATATTACAAAAAGGCAAAAATGTTGAAGGGTGGAAAGATCTTAATTAGTAGAAAGTAAATAAATGATTAATTCAGTATCAGAAGTCATGGTCTATGGCACTTAAGTTCATTCGGCACAAATCATTAAAAGGCCAAACAGCGATGTTTACTCTTTCAGGAGATTTAGAGAAACAGTTGATGACTTTATAAGCTTGAAAAACCCTTATTTTGTCAGCTCTATGCTTTATTCTAACCCTTTCCTATCATAGATATTATTATAAATTCGGATGTCTAGTTGTCAGCTGTGTAGGATGCATTTTGGAGTATCTCAGCCAAAAAGGGTTTACACCCACGTCTGATTTTTTATCCGTGACCCAAATTAATATGTAAGACGTATACTCAGTGTTCTCATGACTAATGACTTGGCGGTTCTGGTTTGCACAGTATTAAGTCACAATTTTATGAAAGTCTAATTGATAATTCGATATTGTTAATAGTTAGATTTTTTAAACAACTCACCCAGTATTCGCCTTAGCAACTAAAGGCTGAGTATATTTTCATTGTTTTTGTGTTCATGATCAGAAGGACAAAACCTTATGAAAAGAGTAAAATTCACTTGATGTTGCTTACTTGTATCTTCCCATTGTTATTTAGGACTGCAATTGATCAGTCTCTTGTTGGCATATGTTCAATTTTTGCGGATATTGCATCAAGTCACAAGCTTCTTAAGCAAAGATAGATGGTGTCTAGCAGCAGTATACAGGACGCGCGATGGCTTTAAAGCTAACTGTACTGGGTCCGAGTTCGGGAGTGTACATCAACACTGAGATACAGGTACATACAAGTGCCGCGTCCAAGATCCCACTGATAGCCACTATCCATCTTTGCTTAGAATGCTTGTGGATTAAAGCAGTATCGAGGCAATACGCACAGTATGAGACCGATCGATCACAGTCCTAAATGACAATGTGAAGATACAAGTAAAACAACACCAAATTAATTTATTTTTTCAACTTTACTAAATAATCTGAAATTTTTATGAAAGAGTTACTGTAACCTTAGTAAATTGAAACTTACTTTAATCATTTTACTCTTTATTTCTAAAGGATATTCATTCTGGTCAAAATATGATTCAATTGTATTCAATAGGAGTTTACGATTAAAAGAGTCATTTAATCATTTTAGAAATCAAATCTATTCAGATTCATGTATTGAGGACAATTTGAAAAAATGGAAATGTTGTGAACAACCTAATCATCCAAGTTGTTCTATATTACCATGGAAAACAAAAGCTATTGAAACTATGCTAAGTGATCCACAAACTGATATTAGTTTAGTATTTGCTTATCTATGGTGTACAAAAGTGAGTTTCATCTAAACCTCCCCCCCTGCATTTAGACGAACGTTTTATAAGCCATAAATTATTAGTCACTATCTCTATAATTATTTGGTATTTGAAAGTAAAACTTAGTTTACTACTTAAATATGGCCTATTATCTATGATTTTATGATAATAAGAATAAATAAAATAAGCTTCTGGATAATCCCTTTATCTTTAAACAACTGAGATAGTATTCAGTGGTCTACAAATCAAACTTCAACCAATTTGTGATTCTAGACGATAATCTTCACAATCCACGATTCTTAATGTTTATGTATACTTATTACAAGTGCACCTCACCATAAAGTGAACATCAATATACAAGCCTGTTAATCGACGACTAGCTGGCGAAGTTCAAGAATAACAAATCCATTCCAAGTAAACATTAAATCATCTTAATGTTTTAAGAAATTTTGATATGAGTTCCCTATTCCTATTTCCAGTGAAAAGAACAAAATATCCTAACAAATTTACCGACAACTTACTTATCACTGTCTTTTCAATAATCTCACATAGTTAGCTGACAACACTAATCAAATGATGTACTTAGCCTGTGTCATTTGCATGATATTTTGGTGGCTGTTGTCAAAATGTCCAAGTTTGCTGACGTTAGTGTCCTATATAGCTTTATCTTTTGGTCCTCTATAACTTGTTGGTATTTGTAGATCCTGTAATGCGCATTCGTTATTATTAGGTGTACCATTTTTCTTACACTTTACTCAGCTATTCTTCATCTCAATGGGCAGATAATTGGAGGTCTGTATCTTACACTTGTTAGTAGAACAGGCTGACGAAGATACTCGTGAGGAAAATACAATTGTAGTAGTGTAGTACACTTCTCGATGTATTCAGCACATATTCAGCATACAGTTTAAAAGTTGTAATCTAGTTAACCATAAATAAGCACATGTTAAAACAATTTTTGGTAAAAAGGGAAAAACTTATTTTGACGAGTTCTACTGTATGGGGCGGAAACCTGGAGAACTATGAAGGCCATCGTCCAGAACATACAGGTGTTTATTAACAGTTGTCTACGCAAAATACTTTGGATTCGTTGGCCGGACACTATTAGCAACAACCAACTGTGGGAAAGAACAAACCCGATCCCATCGGAGGAAGAAATTAGGAAGAAGCGTTGGAAGTGGATAGGACACACGTTGAGGAAAGCACCCAACTGCGTCACAAGACAAGCCCTCACATGGAATCCTCAAGGCCAAAGGAAAAGAGGAAGACCAAAGAACACATTACGCCGAGAAATGGAGATAGACATGAGAGAAATGAACAAGAATTGAATGGAACTAGAAGGGAAGGCCCATGACAGAGTGGGTTGGAGAATGCTGGTTGGCGGCCTATGCTTCATTAGGAGTAACAGGCGTAAGTAAGTAAGTAAGTAAGTAAGTAAATATTTTGATGAGACAAACTAAAAGAGAAGAATTGTGAAAATATGTGTCAGTAAAACAATAATGAGGCCAATAATAGAAATTACCTATTTTACTTAAGAAACAGTTGAATATAAGCCATGTCACAATGTGCCCTACAGACTGTTTAATTATTTTATACCAAAAATGTAGCTTAATAAGAGCCATTATTTCCGTCATTTCGATATGGATGTCTCATTTTGTATTTTAGTATCAAAACAGCAGCTCAGGTAAAGGAATAGCTTGATTTTAGCTTGATGGAAGCTATTTGTAGATCAGAGAATTCATCTAAAGACACAAATCAACTAATTTTGGATAATCTGCATCTAAACTAATGTAAATGTCTTAGATTCATAAACAATGCAGTAAGACTAAGGTTTTCCAACAGAAGAACTATTTCTTCATAATCTAATGATAGCCAAATGTTATTAATGAGTACATTTATTGATTACATGTATCTTTAATCTTTATATTGATTATCATTGAAAAACAAAACTACACATTATTACCTGGATATTTTAGTTTCAAAGCTGAATTGAGTAGATATTGCAATTGTGAGTATATTCAATATGATATGTTATGTTCTGCAGACATACTATCATGCCTCATGAACTACTGATGAATACTTTAAAAACTAACCAATCAATATTCAAGAACAAACTCTTCTACTTCCTAAAGTTCTAGTTAACCACAAAAATAAAAAAAGATAATAATATATACATATATTATGACAATGATTACAAGGTGGCTAAGATATCCATGAATCATTATTTGTGAGTGTTATATGTAGAACTTAGATTGTTAATATACAGCGTATAACTTGAGCACTGGAACGCTAGAACCCTCCGAACTCGTAAATGAGAAGACAAACAGCGTTAATAATGGTACAAAACTGTCAGGCATTTATAGTTTATAGTAAAAACGAAATCATCATTATAGTTATCCAATCCTCACACAGGGGGTTATTAGCATCTATCCAATAGGGAAGCTACACGTAGTGATTTTGGAATATTCTTCCAAAAACATAGATGATTGGATGAAATATCTTTGCCTCTTTCTGAGCTTCTTAGAGTTTCCTCGAGTTCACCCGTGGACCATCCTTACAGTGAGCAATTATAGTTTAAAAAATATAACTAACGAGCTAACATATTACTCAATAAAAAGATAAGGGTGTTGAAATCAGTAAAATGTAAAACGATACATGAAAATGATTGACAGGATGAAATGATTAAATACATAAAATACACCAACTATTTCTTTACCATATTTCTAAGCTTATTTCACTGATCACTAATGAGAATATAAAATCACTTGGGCACAAAAAGTTTGTAAACTTACGTTCAAGTAGCTGGAAACGTGAATAGTTTCATTTAACCATATGAATTAAGTGGTAAAAACCTAATCTACATAATTTATATTTGTAACATGATTATTACTATGATTCTTTTTGTAGGTATGGGCAAATTTTCACACATTTAATGCTACACAACAAAGAGATTTTCTCGAAGATATAGAAACAGGTTGTCCAAATCCATGTTTTGGAAATCCATGTAAAAATACTCAAGGTGTAAAGAATCATATTTGTCAAGTTACAGGAACTTTTGAGGTATTCATGAATTATTTATGTACATTATCAAAAAATGCGATAAAAGAATCAATTTTGGCTAGAAGACATTAGATTTTCAGCAAATATAGGAGTAATCATAAAAATTATAGTGAAAGAATTGGAGACCGTGTAAATTATTGATACGTTGCTGGGAGAAGAACTGAAGTCTGTTAAATAAGCATATTCTCTTTAACCACGTAATAGGCAACTGTTCAATGCTTCGAATTTCCATCATCCAGCGCTGCAGCTGCAGCTCTCCTTGTCGAAATGTTCTCATATGGCCACGCGTATATAGCCTCTGCCAGGGAAGTCCTATTTATCGCCTTCTCGTGGCAGGGGTGTTGTTTACGAAATTGAGAAGACGAAAAGCGAGTGTCCGGCACCGGTTTTAACCAGGTTGGTGGACATGGAGAGTCCACCTAGGGGAGTTGGGAAACCCCGGTTCCAAACCAATGGTGCACATGGGCTCCAGTACCCTGAAGGAACAAATGGCGTATGAATCAATCGCTGGTCACCGGCTACAAATGTAATACATCTCCTAACGTTGCTCCACTACCTTGTGGGTCAGACCTACAGGTTGAAGGCTCCAGGTGTGGCCTCCTAAGAAAACCATCTGCTTCTGTTTGAGCACCCGCTCAGTATCACATCCCTCACACATATTAAATGAGATTTGTGTGGCGCATATGTATTTAGTGCCCCCTTGTACCAATATCTATGTGCTAAAATAAAATAAAATAACTGGACAATGGTAGCCAGTTTCAACTTATTCAATCTTAATGGTAACTCATATGAGAAACGTGTTCTAAAAATAGACAAATAAATTGTGAATGCGCACTGCTGAGGAGTCCCATACTAGAACGAAACGGCCATTCAGTGCTTTCAGGTTTCCAATGGTGGTCTAGCCTTAAATCGACTTATAAATTCAACTACTAAAATCATAAAAGGTTAAGAATTTTTCTCAGTAAAAATAAATCATTATTTATAAGTAAATATATAAATGAAGCTAGTAAGAATAGTTTATAGGACAAAATAAGTCATAAACCGTTTATCAGTCGATAAAAACTTATCACTGTGTCAGTGATGTGATGTACTTTAATCTGCAAATCAGGATTTAATATTACTCAGTCTATTATATAAAGTCGAAGTACGTTTAAATAGTCAGCTATATAGTGCTATGTAGAGTTGAAGGTCTCATGTGAAACTGAAGGTTCGCCATTGATATTGTGGATGGTTCGGCATTACTTTGGCAAGTTTTGATGAAAATTCATGAGTAAAATTTGTTTGCCGGTTAACCGATTTCATTCATACTGGTGGTCCCTTCCCAGTATTCTCAAAGGCTATTTTCATTGGGACATTGTAAGGCATGTCGCCATTGACTGTCGTGTAAGCGGAATAGGTCAACTTTGGCCTGTCCGCGTTGTGCATAATTGATTCACGCGATCATTGACCGAAATAATTAGACATGTGATGTGAATGTGTATATGAATGATGCAAATGGTCCACCAGGGTGCTTGGTACCTGTGTGGTTGCACCACAGGATTGAGCTGTACTATTCAGATTGTAGCGTTGAAGCTCATATGGTGTTTGGTTTTACTGTGAAGCGGGATTGAGCCGTACTATTTGGGTTATAAGTTTTAAGCCTGGGTGGTATCTGGCTTTCCTGCCGTACTGCTTGGGTTAAGCCTGGACGGTGTCTGGCTCTCCTGTTAGGCGGGATTGAGCTGTACTGTTAGGGTTGTCACGTGAAAGTTTGAATGGTGTCCGGTTCTCCTGAAAACCAATGTAAAATTACCCTGGCCCACAAGGGTATATTATATAACTATGAATAAACTGTTTGATTCTGCCAGTAGTCATATGCTTGCTCGTCTCAGACGTTTAATTAGTAATCTGATATATTCTTCATAAGTCAAGTAGAATTATTGAGTGATATTTAATTAAATATCAATCTGTTTTGAGTTCTGTTAAACTGATTATGGTGTCATAGAAACCGATAGTAAAGATAGATAGACACCAACTGGTAATCGTTTCTTATGTTATCATTTGATTTGTATTACATTAAATCATTTGTAAATGTTTAAAGAATGAATATCAATGTCATTGTCAAGAAGAAATGATATGGGATAAACATTTAAGAATATGTCTCCCAATAAATCCATGTGATAGAAAAAGATTTCAAGTGTGTATACCTGAAAATACCCTTCAATGTATTGCTTATAATAGTTCTGAATATGAATGTATTTGTAAATCAGAATATATGGGAATTGATTGTTCATTACCACGTGATGCATGTTATGAACGAGTAGATAAAGTATGTTCAATAGTGTATTTGTTTCGTTTATTTTTCTTGACTATTATTTATCTAAACAGTAACTTATATCAATGAAAAGAGACCTTATTGTATTTGTCTTTCGATTATTAGCTTACCTCAACGATGTTGTTTATCAACTCATCTGCTACGAAAACCGTCTGTTGAGTGAAACCGACAAGATATCAAAGAGGCATTGATTTGATATCTGATAGCTTATTTCATACTTCGACAAAATTCAGTCATTTAAACGATCAAGGAAACTTGAAATAGAAGATTCTGCAACAATTTGAAAGACTTTCCCGGTTTCCAATATTGTACGAGCATACCATGTACCTAAATTAGTGGTTACTCTAATTCTCATAAGGGGCATTAGCCTCGTGACTTTCGATGGGACTCGGCTTTCACTATGAGGTGACATAACTCTTCTAAATGAAGATCTCACTCTCAGAGCTGAGTTTAAATGATTTGAACTATTTTTTCTAGTTTGCATTTCTTTAACGAGTTAGTTTCCTATAGGATAAGGTTGCTAACTTCATACCCAACCCTCCCTCTTTATCTGAGCATGTGACCGAGAGCAACCCCAGAGGGATTTCAAAAGGAGTTGAAATATAAGATTACCTGTGTTCATATTCATTTATCACTTATTCACTATAAACAAATTAGGAAAACATAATATTTTATAAAGTAAAAGACATGTGTGATCTGACATTAAGTACATAACTTGATAATTGTCCCTTCTTTCTTTTATAAACTACTAGTGTATATTACCACAAGTAACTGGATCGATATTTAAATGATTACCTTTCTTTAATTTTTGTTAACAGAATATCCTTAACTCTAGTAGACAACAAATAATGATCTTTTAATGGATCCAATGTTTAATCTATGAAATATCAATATTAACAGTTAAGATCATGAATCATTTGAAGCTAGACCATCATCAAAAACCTGGAAGCACTGGACCACTGTTTCGTTTTACTGTGTGACTCCCCAGTAATGCGCACCCACGATCTCGCCTCGCAAGATTTGAACCCAAGAATCTAGCTTTGATTTACTCATGATTTCAACTATTAAAATTACTATAATATCCACAAGACCCCTTTTGATATGGAATATCAAATTGAGATTTAATTGAAAAATTAAGATCTTTATGGTAACTTTTGTTCTTAATTTTCAAAGGTGGACGAGTTTTTTAGAGAGGCTTTCCTTTGAATTTTTGTCTGTACATGTATCTGCGTGAATTTACAGATTAAAACATTCCGAATAATATCTGTAGTAATATATACTACCTCTCTATCTGAGAATTGTATCAGTAGGGTTGTAGTGACCTACTTTTATCAAGAGAACGCGATGGGTTTAGTGGAAACAATCATTATTATAACCAATTGTACCAGTGATTGTTTTACTGTGCTCGTTTGTTTAACTGTGCTAAAGACAGCCATATTATTACTACACCATTGATTGTGACCTTGCATGGGTTCGGTTACGCTCGGTAACCACGAGCGTACTCCTTTGACACGATCTCGGTATCCTTTCGATACCACGAGATCGCCAACGAATACATCTCGACTACAGCCATCAACTGCCTTCTGATATTTGACTTACGGGGGATTTTATCGGTTAACTGGGACATAGTCTTCTTGTAGTGGTGTTCATAGTCAACCGTGACTCGACTCCACGCTATAGGGTCTTGACTAATGATCCTCAAAAGACGACTACGTTTGGCGTTGAAACTTACGAATATACTATGAAAATTCATGAAACTATGGGTTTTCTTTTCATATGAAGAAAAAATATAATAATAATAATTATTATTATTATTATAATACTTTAGTTACTACACTTCATATACAGTTATATAATGTGATTATCTGCAATAAATTGTATTTATCAACACATCCATTAGTTACTATTCATACAACAATTATGAATCCATCATTTAATACCTATGAATCAATCAGAATACATTTTGACCTTTCTGTACAGGTAATGTAATGGAATATATTTACTGCTTGTTATGATCATACTGTTTGTTTTATCATCCAATGAACAGCATTATTACAGTAGTTAATGGTTACCTAAATTTTATTTCAATAAATTTAGAATGTATTTTAAATTAAAAATTCAATGGATTTGTTTATTATTCAAATACCCTGGTACGGCAGAGAGTGGAGAGATTCAGCTCTCTCTTTCTTTCTTTCTCTCTCGAATTGTTCGTATACAGACACTGTCAGAAAAGTCCTACTCATTGAATTTTCGAAGCGGGGGTGTTGCTTACTAAAATAAGGGGACGAAAAGAGAATGCCTGATGCTTTAACCGGGTTGGTGGATCTAGAAGAATCACTTAGGAAAGTTGGAAAACTTTGATTCCAAACCGATGGTGTACATGGGCTTCATTATCCTGAGAGAACAAATGGCGTATGAACCTATTGTTAATCACTGGCTACCATGAGACTGTATCTTTTAACTTTGCTCCACTGTCTCGTGGATTAGACCTCTAGGTCAAAGTCTCGAGAAGTAGCACTCTAAGAAATCATCTTCTTTAGTTTGAGCGCCCTGGCAATATCTCAGCCCTCACACAAATGGAATGATTTGTGTGACACCTATCCATTCAGTGCCTCGTTATACCAATGTTTATGTGTTTTAATAAGTAAACTGAATAATTATTAAATACTACATATAATTTTGATCTGGTGAAATACTTTCCTTTCGATTTTTAATATTATTTTAGTCACAGTCCAACGGAAATTTTAACTGTCAAATTCATCTAGGAAATATATGTCAACCTATTTTAGGAACAGATTATTATCAGTGTATATGTCTAGAAAGTTATCAACCTTTATTGTATACTTCTGAACCAAATTGTTTTGGAAGAATCAATCCTTGCCACACAATACATATAACTGATCTACTGATCGATTCAAGTTTAAATGATGAAAAGAAAAATTTCCAAATAGTTTCAAATAAAAACCAACATATCCACCCTAGTACTGTTATATATTGGGGTTTAACTTGCCTTAATGGTGGCCAATGTGTTGCTTCAGAAGATTTCACACATGCTACTTGTGTTTGTCCCACTGCTCCAGACGGTTCATTATTATATACTGGTTAGTTAGTTCAAATGTGAATTGTGTACATTTAATGTTCGTAGTTTTAGAAGTTTGAATGTAGAAAATATTTCACAGTGGATAATCCTAGATTAAGAGTGGAATTAGTTATTAAAGTACTTTGCTATCGGTTTCTTTATGACACTCCTAACCATATCAGTCATTATTCTTATTGTTGATAAATAATTTGAATAACGATGAGAGCTAAAAGAAACGGAAATTGTTACTAATGTTTTGTATCAGAAAAGTGAGTAACTGAACAATGCGAATTTAGATGCTTGAATTTCTGTTGCAACAATGGGATCGGAAAATCCTTCATCCTCGCTCTGAAAGACTTGAACTGATGGTTTTATCCTTGCATTCTCTAACTCTTAAGTAATATTTTCGTTGGACAAGTCAAAAGCTATACTATTGTAAAACAAGACAATGGGCAAGCGGAATGTAAATTTATTGTGAGAAGTTAAAATGTATTCACATAATGCATATACATAGCCGTCAATCCTCCATTTTCATCTTTCGGTGTTTTCTACCATCTGAACTATCTTCTTGTCTGGTCTCCAAGTGTTCTGGAAACGTAGTGCCTTCAATGCTCTAAAACTCTTAACTTGTTCGGTTACCAATCAAGTATATCCTGACTGAGTTTAAGGCAATGTCAAATACCACAGAGATTTGAACACCTTTCTCACTCCAGTTTAAAAACCTTCACTAAGACTAGCGAAACAGTGAACCGATCACCAGATCGATTCTGAATTATTGCCGTCAAGCTTCTCATCATTTTGTGAATTTTCTGAGAGAAAAAGACTTGTTTCACTACAGTATGTAGATTTTTTTTGAGTAACAACCATTATCTGAGATATGAAAGTGTTCAAGTTACACGAATCTAACCGGTCCATACTGTTAACTGAGCTATTCATTATTTAAACAAACAGTAAACTAAATGGTGAAACGTACTTCTATTTGAATCATTTTGTGCTGGATCAATGATAAAAATGTGTAATATAGTGAATTTTGTCTTAATATGATTCAGTATTTGATGAAAAGTTCATCTAACATATTACAATTTCAAGGATTGAACTGTGAATATTCCATTGGAATTTGGTCATCTTGGACACTGCCTTCACCGTGCTTTCCAGAAGATTGCGGTTTGTCACGTTATCGTTGGAGAAGGAGACAATGTTTGAACAATACCATCGATGATAATATGATTTTCCATTCTCCCGATTCGTTAGCTAAATTAAATGACATTGATACCTTAAAAAGAAGAATGGCACTTCCTTGTCCAGGAGCTTCAGAAGAAGTAAGTTATACACTAGTTTGACCAAAAACATTTACAAATACATATTACTTACGCTTGTTACTCCTTGTGGAGAAGTATAAGCGGCTCACCAGCATTCTCTATCCAACTCTGTCCGGGGCATTTCTTTCCAGTTGTTTCCAGTTGCTACTCGTCCTTTTGATGTCTGCTTCTAAGTCCCAACGTAGTGTGTTCCCCAGACTTCCTCTTTTCTGTTCACCTTCATGATCCCAAGTTAGCGCTTGTCTGGTGATGCAGTTTGATGATATATACTCAACAGTAAGTATAACAAAACCTCTAGCGTCTGTTTTATATTATTTTATAAGGACAAAGACGAAAAATGAACCCAACAAGAATTATTGAATAGAACTTAATGCATTTATTCTAGAACGTTCACAGTCATTAAAAAAGACTTTTCGTATTTGCTAGTAATTAAAAGTTTGATAATTGACCAGGTTGTCATTATATTCAGGAATCCTAGCAAAATGCCATAACCAGTGGGTTTCAGTTATGTTGAATATAAGGCACTCACCCACTAGTGGCATTAAAAGGTAGTGTTGTACTAATAGGTATTTATTAAATTTAAGAGCTTAAGTCATTGAATACCGTCTCATTGGTCTAAAAGTTAAACTGCGTCCATGAAACGTGAGGAATCTGGATTCATTTCCAGATGGAATATGTGATGCGAACTACTGGGAAGTCCCATACTAAGTCTAAAAAAATGTTGAAAACTTTCTGTCTTACAATGGTTTGCCAACAAATGTAATTTTTTGAGCCAAACTGTAAAATTTTAATCTCACTGGTAACCTGTATGGAGATGAATTCTCTCAAGCTTGAAAGAGTAAACTGTGACCTATAGAGTAAAACAAGTTGGAAGTTTAAACGGTAACTCATTATTGAGGATCAAGCTGTATCGCAAGCGATCTGGAGCTCCGAAAATCAGCCATTGTATTTATACCTAATTCCTAAATAATATTATTCTACCCGACTGAACTGAGAGTTCTTGGTTCTATTTTGCATGGGATCGTAGACGTAAGTTACGGGAAAATTTTGAACTAGTGAGAAAAATATACCCATTTGTGTCTCATTTAAAAAAAATTCGTTGACCTGTAAATAACAATGACTAATAATACATATATGATAAGTTTTAGAATTGTATTTTAGGTTAAAACCTTGAGATATAAAGAAAGATGGATAATTAAAAACAGCAAAATCCAATACGCACGTTTCGTCCTATTTGGGACTCGTCAGCCGGGTGTACTTACGTCCCATAGTTCATGATCACTCCGGGACTGAAACCCAGTACCTTTCGCTTCAAGCGTCATCACGTTATCCACTTAGCTGCTGAACCCTGATAGCCACTTGCATGTGCAATGAGGTGAAGTCTAAATTCACTTTGTGTTGTTTGCTTGTATCTTCTCATCATTGTTTAGGAATGCAATTGATCAGTATCTTGTTGGAGTATGTGCATCTTGTTCTGATTGCCTCAATATTGCCTTAAATCACAAGATTTTAAGCAAGGATGAATGATGGCTAGTAGTTTTATCAAGGACGCGCGATGGCGTTTGAAGCGGACAGTACTGGGTTCGAGTCCCGAAGTGAACACCAACTCTGGAATGCAGATACATCTAGCTGACACGTCCAAATGAGACGAAACGTACGTCTTGGATGCCACTGCTAGTCACAATCCATCTTTGCTTATTACGCTCGTGAATTAAGACAGTATTGAAGCAATACGCACAGTATGCATAATGTGACTTTTTAAAACTGGATATCTTTTTGAAGCGACATTTAGCAATACATCCAATCTTCTCTGTATCTTTATTATCTTATTTGATTTTATCTTACTTCACAACAGATTTTGCCATGTCCCCCGCTAGAGCCATGTATTAAATCACATTTCTCAGGTTTTATGATGGAAAACAAATTCAGTTATGAAACATTATATTATTTCACATATACTACAATTTTTATCGTAAGTTTTTTCATCAAAATGTTAACGTATATAAAGTTAACTGATCACTAATATACCATTTGGTTACAACTAATATCTCATCAATGTAACTGAAAACTTCTATAGCTTTCTGTAATCGACAAAAAGTAATGCTTTACTGCAAACATTAAGTATTAAATAAGTTTTTGATTGAGATCATGAACCCGATTGATGTTAGACCACCGTTGGAAACCTAAAAGCACTGGACGGCCGTTTCGCTCCATTGCAGGACTTTTCAACAGTGCACACCCCACTCGCGGGTTTCGAACCCAGGGCCTTCAGTCATCTGTGCGAATGCTTAACCTATTGGACCACTGAGCCGGCATCCAATGGTGTTAATGTCTAACCTCAACCAATCCACGAAGTTGCGCGACCGTCTTCCATTGTACTGACGTAGACACCTGTTCCTACCCGACATGGATTAGCTCCACAGGTCAATATTCAGTATTCTAGTAAACGAGAACACAAATGGGGACAGTTGAATGTATTTAATTACAAAATTACAAACGATTTAGTAATATCTGAGAACCATTACTGTAAATGCTTCGTTTGCGAAATATCAATCAACTTCACTGTTCCTTCATTTTCACAGCAATTATTTCCCGTTCTCATTCCCTTCGATCTTCTTGACCTTGTGCCGCCAGACACTATACTTTCGATTAGTGATACATACTACTTGTTTCTGACAACATCTGTAGTACACATCACATTATAATAACTGTTATAATCAGTAAAGGACATATTGTAACCAAAATCTGTTTGAATTAAAAGTGCATTCAATTCAGAGTATTAAAGAATTAAGTCATTGCTTGTTTTGTAACTTCTGTTTGATTTTTATTGCAGTTCTACGGCTCTTCATATATTATTTGAAAATTTAGTCATTTGTAAATGTGATGAGAACGGATAATAATTGTGCTGAGAATATATTATTTATTCCGTCTCCTTGAAGCAAATTTGCATGATCATGTTAATGTTCAATGTGTTAGTATTATTGAAGTTGTAACCTCAGGTCTTATGTGGACCAGCTTAATTGATATAAAGCGGTTTTATGGATAATTTTGTGTTAAAAAGATTCAGTTTACCGATTTCATTGTAGGGATCTTGAGAGATGTTCTAAACTAAGAAAATCAACCTGATCAGTGTTCTTTGTTTTTCAACTGCTCTTCAGTCTATTTCAATCTGTGATATAAATGACTATAGAAGTATACTTAGTTTCCACAACTTACATATATGGTTACCTAGAAATATTACGTATAAGCAAAATCTTCATAGATTCGTGATATCCCAACTAGTAGAGATTGGAATTCCTTACATTTTGTGACTTAGTGTGATCCACTTTATTAAAGCAAATAAACAAATAACCGAATTAAAATGACACAATTTTAATAACTTAGAGGGATAGAGCTATCCATAAGATATGACTAACATTCAACAGAATATACTCAATTTGTTTGAATTTTTGAAGTCTGACAATAATAATGATACTTATGAATATAATTCATGTTTTAATGACTATGTTCAGAGTAAATGATTATTTCCAGTAAAAAGCGTTTCTCATCTTAATGATTTATTATAATTACTATTTATTTGAAGACATAAATATTAGTACAAAGAAGCGCAAGATATATATACGCTACACAAGTCACTCGATTTGTATGTGGACTGTGATACTGCACGGGTGCCCAGACCCAAACAGGTGGTTTTCTTATGGAGCCGAACCCGTAACCTTCTACCTAAAGGTCTAATCCACAAGGCAGTGGAGTAACGTTGGGGGATGCAGTGCCATGGTAACCGGTGACCGATAATTGGTTCATACGCTATTTGTTACTTCAGGGTCCTGGAGCCCGTTCTCACTATTGGTTGGAAATGGGGGTTTTCCAACTCCCGTAGATGGATCTTCCATATGTACTAACCCGGTTAAAGCGATGGATCTTCGCTTTTGATCTCAATTCTGTAAACAATGGTCGTACCGCGAGAAGGCATTGAGTAGGACTTCCCTGACAAAGACTGTGTACACGTGGTCATGTGAAAGCATTTCAAGAGAGAGAGAAAGGGAGAGAGGGAGAGGAAGAGCTGACTTTCCCCACTCTCTGTCATATCAGGGTCTATCATTAAAATAAAAAACATATTTTGTTTAGATGAAGAAAGTTTATTTAACTGAAAAATGTAAAAATATGTTTATTATAAAACACTGAATGTCAATATTATTATTATACATTTCTTTACAATAACAGGTAATATTTAGTTGTTTAATATGGTATGTTTACAGTCCACCAAGTGTCAGATAATTAAAAGTGTAAAATATTCTTGATATTCTATACGCTATTATCGACAAACATTCTGCGTTATGTTATTGCATTGAGGAATACAGTACAAATACGTTTGTCAATACATCTGTTGTTCTTTATTTCATATAAGTTTAGATGAACATTAGAAATCTGAAAAGAAACATTATTTGTTTCATTTTCTACGAGATGCGGTTGTCGACCCCATGCCCAACCATTCTCGTTTACCCGGGCTTGGGACCAGCGGTAACTCTGGAAGTTCTACCGGCGTAGTTAGTGACCACGATTGGTATCTAAAAATCATTTTTGAGGTATAAAGTAATCTTGTAATAAGATGATGAGTTGGTGAAACTGGTATTTGCGTTTAAATAGACGGTGATTTGTAGACTGAAAAAGTGAATTTGGAAGAATAATGACCAGATGGCGTGGGTAAAGATATTATAACTAAAATAATTAAGAGAATTAAAATAAGAGGAAATGACATTAAGATAATAAGTGAAATGAACGGATTGATAAATAAGACCATAACGGATGTAACGCAAAAGGAGAGAACTAATTGATATACTTGGTGTTTCTTGTCATAAAGTTATCAGTTATTTTAGGTGCTTCAGAACAGTGTGTGAAAATGTACTTATACTATGTCATAGCGTTATGACAGGTGCCTTGATCAAGACGGTTGGGAGTTTCATAAGTTATTAAACAATAATGTGATACCTTAGGATCTCGTCTGAATCTCTGGAGTGAAATGAAAGTGCCTATGAAGCAGCACACGTATTTCTCTTTCAAAAAATTAGTTTTTTTAGTTACTACTAGTAGTCGAAAACATAGGGTGGACACAATTTGGGTGGTTAATTGTTGATATTGTCAAGACATTACAGCTCAAATATTTACTAGCTTGCTTATTTTTCTTGGGCGTTATTCTATATTAAATTTTTAGGGGTTTGTATGTTCAAAATTAGGATCTCGCGCCACAACTGTTTTGTAATACGATCTGAATGAGACCTTATACAACCAATGAACCGTCTTTTTCCACATATAGAACAAGGGATGTGTCTATATGGTCACGGAAACATTTTCATAATCCCAAAACAAGCATAAAAATAGAGCACCGATCAATAACTAGATTCAGAGCTATCGGTAAATGTTCCATGTCTTATATGTATTACAATTTGGTATACAATAAAGAATTATTACTTGACAGAGGATTGTTAACAAGAAATTTTAAAGCAGTGGGAAAGAGGGTAGTTAGAAGCATTACAGAAGTTCACTTTATGAAGAAATGATGAGAAATTTCCAGGATTATAACCTTATAAATTGCAAAAGCATTATATACTGAAATACCAGGTAGACGAGTACTAAACAGTCTCAATAACATAAGTTTAGAGAAGGGTAAAAAGTTCAAAGATACCACAAGTATTTGATGTTTGCCAACGCTTTAACCAATAATGTGCCAATTCAGTAAAATCGAAAGTCAAAAACAATGAAGTTCGGAGATATATTTGACAGGCTATCGATGTATCAAGAAGTGGTCAATATAAGCTGGCTAGAGGTTGTAGGAGATGTGAAGCACGGAGTATCCACTCGTGATCTGGAGCGGATGCATGACCGAGCACCTACAGCCCGATGAGTCTGTAGTGACTCACATTTATCACGAGAACACGACTGGTTTAATAAAAACAATTATTATTATAACCAACTGTACCAGTGTTTGTTTTAATGTGCTTTTGTTTGACTGTGCTAATGACAGCTATTTTGTTCTTCCATTCTTTTACACACTCTTTGATTGTAACTTCGCGCGAATTCGGTTACGTTCTGTAACCAAGATTGTATCCTGGCACGATCTCGGTATCCTTTCGATGCCACGAGATCGCCAGCAAATAAACATCGACTTGGTCCATTAATTGCTTTCTGGTATTCGGCTTCTCGGGGATTTTATGGAGTCATTTGGAACGAGCTTCTTACGCCTTCTGATTTATCTGGCACGTGTTTTCTGGTAGCGGTGTTCACAGTTAACCTCAACTCGACGCCACGCTACAATTGGCAATCCCAATACGAATACAATTGGTAATCCCAATACGAATACAATTGGTAATCCCAATTCGACTACATTTGGTGACCCGTATTTTGGAACACGCCTCAGCTTCTGGTCAAATCTTCCAAAGAAGCCAATTCGGTGAGTCTATGATTTATCTATCCACGTCTGTCGTATATTTTCATATTTTTTAATATATAATATACGCGACATGACGGATAACGATAAGAATAGTATTAATATAATAGACTCACACGTATGTGTACCGAATCCTTGTCACTTTTTATTCGCGTGATGATGAATTCTACGCTCTATTCGAGAAATGTTACCCTATTAACGATTCTCCTCGCTGACCCGGCTGCTTGGTACGGAATGCATACGCATAAGCATATCCGTCTACCACCCAGCACCAAATGGTTAAGTTGAACGGTTTCACTGCCAACTTAAAAGTGTTCTACGAGCACACGAAAACGGCAACTGGCACGAAACCTTACCGCTCGTTCTTTTAGGGGGGGGGAGAACGAGCTTAAAGGCAGATATCCAATGTTCCGCCACTGAACTTGTATACGGCACGACATTGCGTCTGCCCGGAGAATCCTTCACACCACGGAGCAGACCTAATTTCGGTAAATCAGACAACGTCCGTCGACTGCCTGCATTTATGTGAACGCTGTCTCCGGTGTCAACTCGAATACAACATCGACAGGTCGCTCTCCCTCGAGAGTTATCTACCTGTTCACATGTTTTTGTACGAGTAGATTCGGTACGCAAACCTTGGCAACAACCTTACGAAGGCCCTTTACACGTGATCGCTCGTCACGAAAAGACCTTCAAGGTTGATCGACATGCACGCGTCGAGATCGTCAGCGTTGATCGTCTCAAACCAGCACACGTCGATGACAGTGCCCTATCTGGTAACCTGAGATTCAATGCTAGACCTATCAAACCTAGCGGGATCCTTAAATCTTCTTCAGGTCCCACGCTAGATACATCTGAGACCTCATTCTCACGTCCCAGTCAACAGCACGCGTCATCTGCACCGTCTACGGACGAGACAACAGTCTCACGTCCAGACCAGCAGACCACGCCGCCCTTGACTTCGGATGAGATTGCAGGCTCACGCGACGCGAACGAGACTGTCGTCTCACGTTCCGGTCGCCGAGTACGGTTACCCGTACGCTTCCTCGATTAGTTGCACAGTCGACAACCGATACGGTGTAGGAATATTCCTATACTACACGTATGCTACACTCTTCTTTTTTGATTTTCTTTTTGTTTCCTGAGCCCACGCCTTCGACCATCTCCGTTTGGTTCCGTCGACTTCAGTCAACTTTGGCGAAAGCTGGATTGGCCACCCACGCTCTTGTCAACGTACTCAGTCGATATATTGGTTTCGAATGCTTGGCATACGCTTGGTCTCGAACTTGGTCGTTACGGTCGCTTCTGGTCTTTTGGCTCAACGTGGTTTCGTCCTACGTCTGCAGCGTTTATGGTCCGGACCCGTACGAACGCCCTCTTCAGATTCTGGATACAAACCACTCTGGTAGCATGCCGACTCAAGCAACAAATACAGCACATCGCACCTGGTACCGTTCTCCGAAAACGACCTTCGTTGGCAACTCGACGATCA